ATGAGATAATGTAAAGGAACAATAAGTGATAGTAACGAAATGATGATTCGTGTTGTAATAAGAAAATGATTAAATTATCTTAATTAATAGAATATATCCTTTAGGGATGTAGGTAAATGTTAGAAATTCATATGTGGAAATATTTACCCAGATAAATATAGAGACCACCAGTGTGACTGGATCATTGATGAATTGAATTAAACCTTATATTTATAATGAGTGACAAAAAAAGGTAATATACTTTGAGATTGTGACATGTTGGTAAATGGTACACATCGCGAAAGATAAGTACATTGTTAATTGTAAATAGTAACTTTGAACGCGGTGCAATCAAGAGATGGTCACGACGCAATAGTGTCAATTTAGTAAAACTCATGTGAATGTTTATTCAGTGAGTGAGATACAAGTATTGGTATTACTAAGTTAACCATTTTCATGAGGAAATGAAATTGATAGAAGCTGATATGATAGTTAGCATGATTGATAATAGAATGAAAGATGGACTTCCTAAATTATGAGGTGGAGAATGTGTTAAAAGATGGAAAAGTTGAGTTTATTTGAACTTATGAATTGGTAAAACGAAATGGTGAAGTCGAGACTATATGAGTATACTGTGCATGCCGTGTTATGGGCACATATCACTACAGACACGTGGAACTCATTGTGACTTGATCGAATCATAAAGTTTTCCAGAATCAAGTTTGGGATAAAGGAAACACTATCGGGATAGCCTTCCCATTGCAAAGTAATGTCAAAGAGGGTATGATTTTCCTTGAGGATTATTATGAGATTAAATATCTCATGGTCCATATATACTGGTGGTTAACCAATTTGGTTAGTGGTCTGTACGAGGACTAATTATGGGGCCTTGCCAAGACGGTTGTTTTTCGGAAGAGGTATAATCTTGAGTTATCAAATATAGATGGACCCACAAGGAGTGTTAGAAAACCTTGTTTGGGTGTTTTCCAGTAGTGGTCAATATTGGGTCATAGAAATGGCCAGTTATATATGAGATAATGAGTGAATTTGTGATATCCCATGAAGGAATAAAGAGTTAGTAATATATCGATGAAGGGCAAGAGACAACTTTACCTAGGTTTGTGTATCTTGTGAAAGGTATAAGTCGGGGGATACCTTAATGAGTTGAATTGTCTTCCCAATTAATAAGGTCTAGTATGTGATGAACCATAAGGGTTAATTGGTATGTAATCAAAAGATTATATGAATGATATTTAGGTGTTGTTTGTTTTTTCTGAAGCAAAATGTATGCAATCTGCGAACCACATCTGTAGATATCTGCAGTAGAAGAGGTGGACCAAACATCTGCAGTCTGAAAAAAGAAGACTGTTTGTTTTTTTAACATCTGCAGGCTACTAAAATAAACTGAAATCTAAATAAACTGATTTTTTAAAACTTCAAAGTGATTTTTTATTATTTCTATGACTTTGTTATAAATAATTAACGAATCTAGATCAACTTTTATGTATTATTGTATAAAAAATAAAAAAAATTGTCGCACCCCCAAACCTAGGATGGCAGAAACATCCGAGTGTGGAGGACTCATGTATAGTATCATAAGAACAAGTATAATAGTGGTCAAAGTATAAACAACCAACATAAATATAATTGAAAAAGTGACATCATAGTATAGGTTTACATGTTTCTAAATCAATTACATTATGTTGACAAAAATACAATGTTTGATGCCTTAGCGTTCCATCCTCAAAAGCCGATGTTTACCTGTTTTACGGATTCCCTGAGAATACAAGTAGTTTTGGAAAAGTGTCAACAATTAAGTTGGTGAGTTCATAAGCTTTTAGAATGAAATGTTGAAATCCTTTCTTGTAGAAGTAGTGTTTGTTCCAAAAATCTCATATTTTCTCTCTAAAATATATTGTAGTCTAAAATACCAAGACTAATAGTATGCTAGTATTTTTCCATTTTAAAATTTGAATCATGCAAGTTTAAATCGGCATAAACTTGTTAGTTCAAATGGAAATACCATAAATCTTATGTTTGTTAATACCCCATGTGAGTTATTATAACCATACTATGACTTAGTTGGCCTTATATACGACGTTCTTCGGGCGTCGGAAATGTTAATGATATTTGTCACCCTAGACCTGCCGGTCTAGCTGTTGCATACAGCTAAGGTGTGGGTTTGTCAAACCCAATATAGATCTATACACAATTATCACGTTCTCCCTACAAGAGATTTTGGTTATAATTAAAGGACTTTGGTTGCGCTACTTGGAAGTAATGTGAAGTGAATGTCTCACAAATTTATTCATTAACAGATTTATGCAGTGTGATAATGAAGACTTTTTTTTTTTTTTTTTTTTTTTTTTTTTTTTGTAGAAATGTATTCTTTTGTATTGTATATGTAATATAAACTATACCTATTATAGTTTATCCAAATGTTTGTAGTGTATAGTACACTACTAGAAAAACAGCCTTTTACGACGCTCATTGCGCGTCGTAAAACGCTCAGACGATGCTCAAATGCGCGTCAAGGAAGGCCCTGTCATAAAGAGAGACGACACGCTTTTGAGCGTCATTTATAGACGACGCACATTTATGATGCGCATTTACGACGCGTGGTTATGACACGCAATGCGTATCAAGGAAGGCCCTGTCATAAAGGAAGTCGACACGCATTTGCCTGTCGTAACCTTACGACGCACGTGTTTATGACACACAATGCGTATCAAGGAAGCCCCTGTCAAGAAAGGTCATGTCGTAAATGAAGATGACATACATTTTTGCGTATCATAATTTTAAATGTTAAAAAAATATTATTTACAGATTTACTAATTTTCAAATTAAATTTACATTTAATGTCTCATAACAGAAAATAAAATACCATATACAAAAAATACAATCCATTGCATAAAATTTATTGTCATACAAATAACAAACTTTATTTCATATTCATACATATGATTGCATTATTCATTAAAAAAACATATACCTACATCTTCCCCTAAAATGTTATTACATGATGTTGGTCACTTCATTGATGGATCACCAAGAGGAAAACCAACAACTGCCCTAAAATGCTCCATGATGTGCCGATACTCATGTCTTGTAACTTTAAATATTTAATAAAGTAAAATACCTCCTAAAAATAAAAATGCACAAGAAACAACACATCATAATGAGAAATTACTAACATGAATGGAGGAAGTACACTATAAATTTGTTTTACCAAGAGTGGCATGGACGATCAGGTGCTACAAAGTTTGTCCAAGCTGCCAAACAAAGACTACATGCAAACCAAAACATACATACACTATAAATTTAATTACCATACAAATCATATTCATACATACGAGTTTGTTTTACCTTTTTGCCTCATATCTTTATTTTTTTATTCTTATTAGCCATGGAGTGTTGGTGTTTTCTTTTCTCTTGTTCAATCAACCCTTTGTTTTACTTTGAAAAATTAACAATTTCCCTACCAGTTGACTCTGCATCAAACAGAAAAAAGTTAGTCAATCAACAGTCAATGGTCAATACCAACTACAAGTTTCTACTAAAGTAACCTAACACCATAAATACTTTGGTTTAATAAACAGGAACATGTATGTATAAAAATCTCAATTGAAGTACTTTGGTCTAATACCTCCATTTCGACTAAGAGTCCAATCATTGTTTGTGAAGGTTGAAGACCTTCAAACAAAAAACACCCAACAATGGCATTAATGTGCATCTTAAGAACAAGAAACTATTATAGTTCATGCACTAGACAACTATGGGTGATCTGAAATATTTCCCAAATATTTATTTATTCTAAATTATAAAAAAAGAAAAAGAAAAAGAAAGTAAAAGATAATACCTTTACTAATTCATTATATACAAGTCTAGCACATTGAAGACAATGATCCAACAACCGAGCTATTTGTCTTCGAACCAAAACTTGAAGTGGAACATATATATATATATATATATATATATATATATATATATATATATATATATATGTGTGTGTGTGTGTGTGTGTGTGTGTATTAAAGGGTTAAGTTATTAATATAAATAAATAAATAAATAAAAATTTAAACCTCTGGCATGAATAAAGCGGATCTAGGACCAGTTGCATTGTGGACTGTAGTGCGGATGTCTTGATTAGTTAATCTCTGAAATGGATCTACTTCCTATGACAACGACATATGAAATATATATATATATATATATATATATATATATATATATATATATATATATATATATATATAGAGAGAGAGAGAGAGAGAGATAGATAGATAGATAGATAGATAGAAATAATAATGAACGTGTTTGCACCTGCCATTCGGACCACAAACATCATCTGCGTTTGCTCCTGAAATCAATAACATAAGAATTAATAGTAACTCAACATTTAACTATTATTTTAATTATTGATGTGAAAGAGCTCACTGACATGTTGGAATGTAAAAGCCCAACCCCCAATACCATGTTGTTGCTCAAAGGATAAAGTCCAAGCATTCGGGTCCCCACTGTGTTCTTGGGAAAATTCATCAACCCAACCATCTGCACGGGGCCCGGGCCCCATGACTTGCGACTCCCCTAATACTGATCCAACTCTGCGTATCTACCAGACATGTGCTCCCTAACCAACCCCCCAGGATTATCGATCTCTAAAGAAGATAACAGAGCATTCACATGAACGAGTATTAATATATGTATTCAGTTCATCTATCAAGATTGTATCTTAGGTAGGTCAATAGAGTAGTTGTAGCTACTCTAATTTTCATGGTTTATAGAACACGTTGTGATTTCATAACATGGAACGTGAAGCAAAATCTCAAATATTTTTATTGGTCAAGGCTCAAGACCATATCAACCTTCAAGGCTGTTACATCTAACTCATATAGTGATCAATAATGTGTATATATAAAGAAAAGTGTAGGTTGTGTCATCATACCTTAAATGAGTGTATATATAGAAAAAGTGTAGGTTATTTCATCATACCTTAAATGAGAAATTACTGAATGAGTAATTCACATTGAGAGTTGAAGCACCAAACTCTGCCAGGTTACCACATTCATCACCTGTTTAATCACACAACCAAATGATCAAGGATTACAAAAGAAACCAGGTATGTGTGTGTGTGTGGAAAAGGATGCACGGATATGAGATCATACCTCTTCCTCTAGCATATTGCCGAAGGAACTATCACCAAATGTGTTGCCTGTATCAGACATATCATCAAAATCGCTGCCTCCATCAACATGCTCATCTTCTGGATTCCAAATAGACCGGCTCAAGAAATAACTCGTGTCCAGAGTCTCAGTAGATGGTATAAATGTCGCCTGATTGAAAAATACCCCTACACAACTCAAATCAACTCAACTCAACTCTTATAAAATAACTTTTTTTTCTTAGAATAAAAGTTGAAAATAGATGAAATTACCTTCTGCCTTGCAAGTGTGTCCCAATGGATATTCTTAAAGAAATGGTGCATCTTTACATGTTTGTTTATCATTAATAAGTCACACACTTTATTTATCAATTAACTTCCTACCTCTTTGCCTTTTCTTTATATATATATATATATATATATATATATATATATATATATATAATGGAGAGAGAAAATGTTACCTGTACAGCGCCTATTGCACCAAGGCGTTGAGCTGGATTTTCAGTTAGCAACCTAAAATTGAAATAAACATAAACATAACTATAATTATGTATGAATATGTGATGATTGGGTTGATTGATAAAAAGTAGAAAATTACTTCTTAATCAGATCATATGCTTCATAGCTCATCTCCTCAGGGAATCTTGGGCCATGGTATATCTATGTTCATAATGTTGGCAAAGACTTGCTGCACCCCAACCCAACCAAATTCAGAAAATGAGAAGATGACCAAAGTACGTTTGTTACCTTTTTACGCAATGCAACGCTGTAGCACCTAGTTCCTGGTATGTATAATCTATCTAGGTTATTTAAATTTTTTAGCCTTCGACTCGGCGAGTTGTAGGCCCGACTCGCCGAGTAGTGACGGGACTCTGATCACGTTTAAGTTGGCGACTCAGCGAGTCCACATTCTGGACTCGGTGAGTCCCCGCTGTCTGGATGAAACCCTAATTTCAAGGGTTTGCACCTTATTTAAACCAACCTTATGCGCCCCAAGCCCGACTCCTTCACCCTCAGAGCTCCCTATATCGTCCTAACCCCTTTTCTTGTGAGATTGAAGTGTTTTGGTGTGATTTCTTGAAGATTTTGAGAGAAGAAGAAGAGTAGATCAAGAGGAGAAGGAGGAGGTCGAATATCTTGGTGATATTTCAGTGATTCATTGAGGTATAACCCATTTCCTTCTGTTTTTATGCTTAAAGTCCCTTAGGGCACCATTAAGGTCCTTCTTGAACCATTTCCAAGCTTGAGTATGGATTAGGGTTTGTAATGAGTTGTGTAACCTCTAGATCTAGGCATGTTTGAGCTCCAGAAGCTCGGATCCAGGGCCCTTTATGGGAGCATATTGCTTGAATGTTCTAGATCTACCATTTTAGCCCTTATTTGACCTTAAATCCCCATTCTATGCATGTATACACGTACAGTTGGAAACTTTACGTGTAAAACCTACCCTAAGAACTCAGATCTATGTATGGTATGAGCTGGATTTAAGAAAATCGAGTATATAGTAATTGCATGTGAATGACTTGATGAGTCGTTCATTGGACTCGACGAGTCGAGTCGCGAGTCCCCGAGTTTTCCCCCTTTTCGTGTTTCCTGAGTGGAGTTGTGAGTCATGGGTGGACTCGGTGAGTCGGAAGCCAAACTCATCTATGGAGGGACTCGGCGAGTCAATGCCCTAACTCGGAAAGTCCAAGGCAATCTTCTTACCTCAAGAACAGACTCGACGAGTTATTCATACAACTCGGCGAGTCACTGGCTAGAGTGTTCTTCGGATGAAGACGAACTCGACGAGTTGTTCATACAACTCGGCGAGTCGGATGAAGGATCATTGGTCATCAGTTAGAAGGATAACTCGTCGAGTCATCGCCTAACTCGATGAGTAGAGTTGTGTATGAGGACAAATAGGAAGGATAGGGACTCGGCGAGTTGGCGAGCCAACTCGGCGAGTCAGGTAGTTAACTTGGCCTGTATTTTTGGGATGTTACAAGTTGGTATCATAGACTTGGTTTGAGGGATTCGGACACACCTTCAGGGGTGTCTGAACTCAAATCGAGGGATTAAAAGATTTTGAAAAAGAAAATGTTTTCTAAAAGGTTAAGTAAAGAGTTTTAAGAAGGAACAAAGTGTGTGATGTGCGTGACCGGCCGAGCTCAAGTAAGTATTCCCCAATGTACCCATACAAGTTTATGTATGTTTATCAGTTTTAGTAGAACAACATGCTAGAATAGGACTAAGGATCTAGGAGTGATGCCTTATGTGCCTACTTTATGTGCTTCAGTATATGAAAATTGCATGCTAGGATTGAGTAGATAGCAGTAGGATAGCCTGTTTAGGTTATGCCTGATAGTATGAGTATAGCAGTAAGCAGCAGTAGTGAAAAGGATCTGGTGGAGTTGAGGCAGTCCTTGAAGAAGGTACGGATAGATGTGGAAGGTAGTATGGGCCCGTACTACTGAAAGCAGAGGATCCGTACCCGAACCGAGGAAGGCCAAGATAAGACCAGGGAACTTGTAGTGGATGTGATCCCTCAGGAAGTATCAGTAACACTAACAGATGATATTTGTGTATTTCAGAATGGTGGTACTACGCTTGGGCCAGCAGTTGGCAGTTCAGTAGAGGGATCGGGTTCGGGATCAGGTTCCGAGCCGGTGGATGAGGGGCTACGCGATTTCATCGCGTCAGAGATCACCAGGAGCATCCTTGAGTCGACCCCCATTATCTTCGGGTCGATCAAGGAAGGGATAGTTGAGTTGATGGAGGATCGCCTCCAGCCATTTAGGAGCGACATGGCATCTGGCCAGTCGGGATCTCGTAAACTGTCCTTTAAGGACTTCAGGGGCAGTGGTACGCCGGATTTTCATGGGGTGAAGGACCTCATAGCTACTAGGCGATGGATTGCAGACACCGAGTCTGCACAGTTGACTAGCTTCTTCTCTGAGGGGTTGAAGGTGAGATTTGTAGCAGGATGTTGGAGGGATCGAGCTAGGGATTGGTGGGAGTCCGTTGGTGACTCGTTGGGAGCCTCGGCTGTCGAGGCTATGACCTGGTTGGAATTCGTGACCAGGTTCAGGGAAGAGTTTGCGCCAGCTGTCGAGCTTCAGTAGCTGGCCAGGGAGTTCCTAGATATGAGATAGACGATGGAGACTGTGACGGAGATCACCGCCAAGTTCCGAGAGAGGGCGTTGCTGGTGCCCCAGTACGCAGGTGATGAGGACATGAGGAGGACCCGCTATCATGACATGCTACGAGCTAGTATTCGGGAGCATGTCAGTTTTTCAGCTTGCCCTACCTTGGACTCTATGATTGCCAGGGCAAGGGAGAGGGAGATAGATCTGGAGCACATCCGGAAGAGGAAGGCGGAAGAGGGACATGTTATGGGGGCTTTGGGGAAGAAGCCCAAGGGATCGGATGCAGGGCCGAAAGGCCAACAGGGACGGGGCCGCTGCAGGAGATGCGGCAAGGCTCACGAGGGAGCGTGCAAGTTGGGGTCATCAGGCTGCTATAAGTGCGGCAAGTCAGGGCACTTCAGCAGGGATTGTACCGCTCCTGCACCTGTGATACATACGTCTGAGTTGATGTGTTTCCACTGCAACCAGAAGGGCCACAAGAAGGCCAATTGCCCCCAGTTGACAGCATCAACAACAGTAAAGGAGCCAGCTCCAGCGACCCTGCGTATCACTGATGGTAGGCTGGGCAAGGCAAAGGCTCCAGTGGTGAGGAGTCGGGCATTTCATATGACTACCGAGGAGGCATGCGCCGCACCCGATGTGGTGACAGGTATGATTCTTCCCCTCTATTTTTATTTACATGATGTTATGTTATTGATATGTGCTCTGTGTATATGCGTTAGGATCGTTCCACGTGAACGGTATCCATGTTCATGTGTTGTTTGACTCGGGTGCCACCCGATCGTTTGTTTCTCTTGCGCTTAGCAAGAAGTTTACTGAGTCTTCAGGCATGTTAGATTGCCCTTTAAAAGTTGAGATTGCCGATGATCGATCGGTGCGGGCATCAACGGTATTCAGAGATTGTGTTCTGAGGTTATTCGAGGAGCGCTACTTGGTGGATTTGGTTCCCATTCCGTTGCGTGGGAACAAAGTGATTATAGGCATGGATTGGTTGAGCCCTAATGGGGCGGTGATAGATTGCGCACAGTAGCTAGTACGGATCAGGAGCCCAGGTGGGGGAGAGTTGGTGATCCACAGCGAGAGGCCACAGCCGGACCCACAGTATGTTCAGCAGTGAGAGCTAGGCGCTACCTTCAGTAGGGTTGCGTGGGATATGTTTCATACGTTATGGACACCCGAGAGGCGGGTAAGGCGATGGTGAGCGAGGTTCTGGTGGTGCGAGACTACGCTGATGTGTTCCCGGAGGAGCTTCCTGGAATACCTCCGGAATGACAAGTAGAGTTCAGGATCGACCTAGTCCCTAGTGCGTCTCTGATAGCCAAGGCACCGTACTAGTTGGCTCCTCCCGAGATGTAGGAGTTGTCTACGCAGCTGCAGGAGCTGTTAGACAAGGGATTCATTAGACCGAGCAGTTCACCTTGGGGAGCCCCGATCATGTTTGTGAAGAAGAAGGACGGGTTGCATCAGATGTGTATAGATTACCGGGAGCTGAACAAGGTGATGGTGAAGAACCGTTACCTACTCCTGAGGATTGACGACCTCTTTGATCAGTTACAGGGAGAATCTTGGTTCTCCAAGATCGATTTGTGTTCAGGTTATCATCAGATGAGGTCAGAGAAGAGGATGTGCAGAAGACCGCATTTCAGATGCGTTATGGCCATTATGAGTTTGTGGTGATGCCGTTTGGGCTCACCAATGCTCTGTCGCGTTCATGGACCTCATGAACCGCGTGTGCAGACCGATGCTGGATCGTTCTGTGATAGTTTTCATTGATGACATCTTGGTTTATTCCAAGACGCAGGAGGAGCACGAGGAGCATCTGAGAGAGGTTTTGGAGACCCTGAGAAGGGAGAGCTTGTATGCTAAGTTCTCTAAGTGCGAGTTCTGGTTGCGCGAGGTGCAATTCCTTGGGCACCTTGTCAACCAGAATGGTATACTGGTCGACCCGGCCAAGATAGAGGTTGTGATGAGATGGGAGGTTCCGAAGTCTCCATCCGAGATTTGGAGTTTCCTAGGATTAGCGGGATACTATCGGAGATTCATTCAGGATTTCTCCAAGATAGCCGTACCCCTGACGCGGTTGACTAAGAAAGACGTAGTCTTTTGATGGGGGCCTGAGCAATAGGCAACGTTCGAGATTCTGAGGCAGAGGTTGTGCGAGGCACCAATCTTAGCCCTGCCCGAGGGTGTTGAGGATTTTGTGGTATACAGTGACATGTCCATTTCGGGGTTGGGCGCGGTACTGACGTAGAGAGGGCACATTATCGCCTACGCTTCGAGGAAGCTGAAGCCTCACGAGGCTAACTACCCGATGCATGATTTAGAGTTGGGGGCGGTGGTCTTCGCCCTCAAGATTTGGCGAAATTACCTCTACGGGGTTCAATGTACCATTTACACGGACCACAAGAGTTTGAGGTACCTCATGGATCAGTTGAATCTGAACATGAGGCAGCGTCAATGGTTGAACGTGGTGAAAGATTATGATTGCGAGATCCTTTATCA